AAAATCGCAAACTGTTTATAAAATCACCTCCAAATAATTTTTTTTTTAAATAAATTTTGGTTTATTCATAGCTATCCCAGCCTTCATCTCTCTGTCTTGCCAGAGAAATGATGTTGCAAACCGTGGTACAGCATTATGATACGGAGAGAATTCATAGTCCAGCTAAAGGAAAAAAAACTGGTTATTAGCAAGTGATTCCTGTGGGATACGGTCCCAGAAATAACATACCCGTGCTGTAAAGCAACTAACAATTACCAGGATCTCTAAAAACGTTTGACAAAAGCTCGTTTGGATTGTGGAGCTCACGATTCCTGTCCCCAGCCCCGGAACACCAGCAGATGGCAACCCAGCTCCACAGACCCCTCCACAGGCTTGATTAAAATATAGCCATTAGATTCCACTTCCACATGAATTTACAGGGAATTACGTACAGTCACTCACTAATTCAAATCTGTAGCCAACTAGCCACTCTTCTTCACAGCCAGGAAAAATACAAACTTGAATCTTCTTTTTAATGAACACTGTCCTGCACAGGGGTAATAAACTATTAGGGGAAGTTTATATTTTAGGTACAAGTGATTATATACCTAATATATCTAATATGAAATTAAAAAAGCAGAGGAGCAGAAGTTTGGAGAATATTCTCTCCTACATCTAAAAAGCATACCCCAACTTGAACATCAAAAGTAACATGGCACAGCATGAAGTCTCTCTCAGCTACCAAGTTACTTGCTGAGCCAAGGACCCAACATCACAAGAACGACCCATTCTCCCCATTCCACTCGGTATTGCCTAATCCACACAGCTTTGGGGAACTAAACATTTGTAATAAATCAGCTGAACTGAATGAGCGGCATCACTGCCTCAGTGTTATTCAACACAGGAAGTTCTTCAGCTTGTTAGCAATTTCAAGTCGTTGCATTTGAGCCTTTCTACCCTCTAGATCATTATTATAATTCAAAATCTAAGAAGATTGGGTTTTTAACCATTTCTTCTAGAACACTAGGGGAAAGGTGAGCCATCTGGCACTTTGTACAACCACAATGAATATGCCATAGCTTCATTTTGTTTAAATCATTACCTTAGAAAGCAAATGTAAAACCCTAAGTCATTTGATTTTCTCTGAGATGAGACTGACCCTACAAGGAAATCTTGCAAGTCTGACATCAGAGGATTAATAGAGCACCAAGTGCTTAATCAGCAGCCTTCATCTCTGAAGAAGAAGAAATGGCTGTGACCACATCCCATGTGGTACAGAATATAAGGAAGAAAGTTTAATCTAAAGAGAACTGCAACCACCCAGCTGGAATCCTCAACCTCATTTTCAAAAGTTATGTTCAGTTTTTCAGTTCAATGGGTACCTCAAGTTTCAGTTCTATACTGGGAACACTTCAGAAAGCTGAAGTTTGTAAGTATTTAAAAAAAAAAGGTTTCAAAAACCTCTTTCACAAACATATCTAAGTTTCCACTGACAGGCTTCTTCAAATGTTTTCCTATTGCCACAGTTGGCAGAAGGAACACATATGATTTCTTATTCCTGGAACATCTCAAGCTTTTCCAGGCATTAGATGCTGAGCAATGCATGTAAGACATAGTCCTAATTAATGGATTGCACACTGTCAGATATTTCTTTCAGAAAACCCTGAAGACAGTGCTCGAGATGCTCTCTGAGGAACCAGGTGGTGGGACACACACACAAAAAATCCTCATCTCTCTCCACAAATGTAGATGCATATTCAGCATTAGTGCAGTGCTCTAGCTGAGCAACCTGTCCTTAATAACCATGAGGGGAAAATCATCCATTGCCCACCCATAAATGCCCCAGCCCTGGAATATTAACATCTTACAGCATCACTTCTGGAAATCGATTTCATTCACACTGAGTTCTGTCAAAATGAATAGCTGCAAGAAAGACACTCTCAATCTACCTCCTCTACAACAGTCACAACCTTCTCTTCACAAGCTCCTTTTCCTTTCTAAAATTTACAAACCCTGATGCTCTTCACGCTTTTCTTCATAAGAGAATCCATATTCCTGATCTTTCACATCATCTCCCTTCAAAACACAGTGCATGTTCTAACTCTTTCTACAGCAGGGTAAGATTTCAGATAAATAAACCCCCAAATTAAGTCAAAAAAGATTTTCCACAAAATTACCTTTCTGTTCCTTAAACACAAACTTTACATACATTCCCTGTGCCCACATCTTTTACTATATTTGAGTCTTGAGAGCAGGAAACACCACTGAGATGCCCACAGTGATGCTTTATGTCATTTCCTCTGATTACTTCCTCAGCTATTTTAGGGATTTAAAAGTCTTCACCAGAATTCAATCTCTTAGGATCAGAGCCATTTGTCTTAAGGGTAGATGATGAGCTGAAGGTCATGCTGTGAAATCCTCACATATATTTAGAAGGCACACAGATCAGATCAACACCTATCATTCCACAGCATTCACCCTGCCCTGGCTTCTTCCTCAAGTCAAGGATCTCCTGGCAACTGCTGCACAGACATTAATCCACATTGTCACACATGTACAAGCTGAAAGATTCTGCCCAACAATAAATTGTGTTTATATAGTTTAGCAAGATAGAATTTGATGTATTTCCAGTTCTGGAGTCGTTGCTGATAAGCAGCCCAGCTATCAGTCTTGTTCCAGAAGTTGCAAACTAATTTCTGAAGATTTGCTATTGTTACTTTATCTTTTTGCTTTGCGGATACTTTCAAAGTGGAAAAGAATGGAATTTAAGCACTGTAAACAATCTGTTTAGGATTAGCAGTGGTTAGAAAGCAAAAAAAACCACATTACTGAATGCCAGCAAAGCAATTTAGCAAAGGAAATCTACTGATACCTGCAGTGCCATAAAGATGGAGCAGAAACAATCAAAAGAGCTTTGAGGATTCTGGCTTTCCCATACCACATTCCACTTCTCTGTAGCTATCCAACTATTATATTATAACAAATAATAAAAAAATTAATGCTCTACCAGTCAAGACTGGCATATTAAAATGACACTCTGCATTATTGAACCTACTCAACTCTTAATAGAGCTATTCTTCAAAGAAGATTAATTATACTGGCAAGAGACCTTTTGCTATTCTAATTTGTGAAACTTATTTCAATACCACAAGCATATTAAAACAGCTGCAAACGTGTAACTAGTTCCAAGATCCCAGGACTCCCTGCATTTAATTAGGTGTTCATCTTGTGACCAGCTCTTTAGTCATTGCTTTTGAAGCCCACTTGGCATAAAAATTTTTCATTTCTAGGCTTAATTAACTGCAACTGTAATGAAAATACAGCCCACCATGAGACATGGAACAGTGACTGGATAGTTCAGCACCTAAACACCATCACAGAGGGACAAATACTGGATTTATAGATTAATTTCTCTGCTTTACTTATCTAAAATTCTGGGGGTCTTGTTTTAAAATAACTTACTGGCATTGTGTTTCATATCAGAACATTTGATAGACAGCACAAACACTGCCATGACAAACTGAAAGCACATCATATTAATAATATGCAGAATCATAACACGCAAACATCTGCAGCTTGCTGAGCTGCACACAGCTGTTAAGCAACAACCTAGTATTCCAAATTAAATATCTGAGAATTAATGCTTTGTTTCAAAGCACAGTTCATTAACTTAAGCTATGGAGCTTCAAGGCATTTGCCTGCCTCTAGAGAACAGGCCTGTGTTTTAACATCTTAATTTTTTTAATCTCCGTCAGATAAATATACTTCTATGCCAAGTTTCATATGAGCATTTTCCCTTTCTCTTGATACAGTTGAATTTAGAACCACTGGTAAGAACATAAATTTAAGGCAAACGCTGAACAGGCACCAAATTAAGACACAATACAATTAAATCAAATCAGAAGAATTTCAATATAGTAGCATGTCTGAAAATGCCATGACTACAAGTCCTTCATTGTGAAATCAAAATTAGATGTAACACAAATGAGTGGCTTTTTGAACTATAAAGATCTAAGTTTCCTTTCATAGCCTGGTGGTGCCAAACTGTCTAGGGTCCCCCAAAACAATTCTTTGGGCTATATCCAAGGTACACCCTTTTATTTGAGGGGGTCATTGCTTCTAAACAGTCTTACAATGTTATATAAATTTATCCAGTTACTTGCAGCTCTCTAAGAAGAGCACACCAAAAATTCCTCATTTGAGTAAAACTTGTTACATGAGCAACTCTGTAGAAGTTTGGCAAAAAAGGATTTCATCTTTGCTTTTAATCCACTATTTACCAACAATTTCTGTTGCATATATGACTGCTCATAAGTAACTGTCTTTTCCTACTCCTGTATTTTTCTTCTCCTCACATTTCAGTGATTTCAGCTATTTAGAGGTAATAAGGAACATCTGCAAACAAAATGTATGTTCCTTTTGGTGTGCAATTCAGACTTGACTGTAGCCACCTGAGTGTGTCTCTCCCCACACAGAATACTCTCTTCTTAGAAAATGCTAATTTAACACATGCAACATTCCTCAAAAATACATTCACTTTACCAAAACCTTTTGACAGAAACCACGTAGAAGAGCAGAGGTCAGCTCCAGCTCTTCAATTCCTTGGGACAGTTATCCCTTTCAGATTCATTCCCTAGCTGTTCCCTAGGGAAACAGGCAGAGGTAGCTACTCAGAAAGCTGCTTCCCAATTAAATTTGTTTTAAATGGTCGGGTTCCCATGTTCACATCTCCCTGGACTTCCACTGATATTTCTTTCAGGCATCAGGCAGCTTAAGTAGCATTGAGAAGGAGCATCCCCAAAAAGAAATTATTCTTCACACACACATTTTTTCCTGCTTTCTCTCGAGAGCAGGGTGAACGTATTCTCGCCCTAATTCACCTTCTATCCTAAAATGCCCTACAGGAACAAAATGCTGCATGCAATGAGCAGGAGCAGGGAAAACAAGGTAAAAATGAAAGCATACAGTCACACCACTTTTTATAGCACAAAATCATGACGAGTATTCCCAGACTCACTCACCAAACCAGCAGTAAGGGAAGGAGCAGATTGTCCTAGAGACTGATTTCTCATGCGGACCAGGTTTGAGGTATCTCCAGGAGGCTGCCATATTGTCTGTCCCACTCCACTGTGGACACTATTTGATAAGGGAAGTAGCTGTTTTCCTTTAAAAACAAAATCAAAATACCATCAGCTTGCTTTTAAACGAGTTTGCAAGCTCCAACTGCAAAGCTGAGAACAAATACTGCATGTGAAGAAAAAGCATTTAATAATAAAAGCAATTTCAAGATTTTGGTAGATCAGAACTTGTAAGAGCACCCTACCAGTAAATTCATTCTGTTTGATAACTAGCAATTTCCAAAAAATCTAGTTTACATTATGAGATAATGGGGAAATCCAAAAATGTAAAAACAGACTTCTATCACTTTATACCTTTCTATATTTTACACAAAGGAAACCAATATTTGCTGCCTTATACAGAGGCAAAATCTCTTTAGATTGCTGTAAAAATTCTTATGAAAATGCATTCCTAATTGTAAAATATTATCTCCTCTAAATAGCTTAGTCATCCAGACATCCCCACCCTTCTCCTACCACTGGAACATCCCGCACTCTCTTTCATGCACCTGTAATCATAATATAGTGTATGTTTAAATGTTGTCTTCCTTTGAACCATGGATGGATGTTTTCTGCAAAATACATTTTTTTTCTAGTCAATATAACTCTCCTTTTTGAAAAATGTCAAGCAGTAAATTTCCACAGAGAGAAAGAACCAAAGTCAAAGTAGGTCATATTGTGACTCCATGGAGCTTGACAGCTTCCTTTTATGTACAGTGTCATTCAGAAAGAAAAAAGAAGAAAGATATTTTTGTGGTTAAAAACACATAAGTGAAGAAGTCTGTGAATCTGGGTTCAGTTATTAGCTTCCAGATGACTTCCTCTGTAACTTTGGTCAGTCAACCTCTGTAATTCAGTTCCACCATCTGCAAAATGGGAGTGGATAATACCTCTTTTCCTTAAAATTAGAACTATGGGACTAAACAACACATGTCCTTCCAAGCATGGTAAATATAGTTGCATTCAACAGATTATTACACGCTCAGGAATCACAGGGAACTAAGACATTTGTTGCAATAAGTAGCAGGAAGGAGACTACACCTTTAATCATGTATGTGCTGTAGAAAAACACTTATTTTCTCAGAGGCAGAAAGCTATTTTACAAATTCAACTTCACCTTAGAATTAGATGTGAATTATAATATCCATTCCATAAAAGTGGCTGCTGTATTTGGAAGACTCGTATAACGTGATTAGCTACCATGTGGGGGGACAGGGAGTGGAAGTGGTGTCTTTTTTTTTTTTCTTTTTATAACTTGTTTACATTCATTTTCTGTGACAGTTGAGCAATGGGCCAAGTACACACCAACAGAATGAGTCAAAAGTGTATGAGACGAGCAGGCTCAGCTTTGGCCAACGAACAGAGACACAGCATATTAGTACATTTTTCCTAGTCCCACTCAAGCTGCTTACAGCTGTGGGCATGATTTTCATGACTTGTTCATTTTCAAGACAATGTACAAATACTATGACTCCTCTTGTCTACAGAGTTCTAAAACCACAGAAATGTACACTGTTGTATTTATCTCTGCACAGCACTAAGAAAGGTATCCTACAATAGCAAGTCAAATAACATAATTATCTAACAGTTCAAAATAACCTGTGCCTGAGAGCAGGAACAACTTTAAGTTTCCAGAATATATAGTTATCACTATCTCCTTTTAGTTCCACAAAACCTGAATCCAGGAGGACAGAATTCCATCAAGAGTCAAATCTCAGCCAACCATACATGAATTGTGCACACTTTGCATGCACAATCATCTACACTCTTAAAACTCTTCTGATCCTGTTGCAAAAAATAAGGTGGAATCATTTTCAGGATGGAGCTTTAAGCTAAAGCCTTTCCCTATCATGCCTTAAGTTCTAAACACATTGAAAATATACATCTGAACATGTACATTTTCTTTATCCAGCTGGGTCAGATCGACCTTGTTGGGGCTCTTTACCCCATCCCGAATCAGGCTGTAGTGGATTGAAAAGTCATTAAGATGAAGCAACAAGTTCTGGAGAACATAGAGTTCTTGTGAATTTTTTGTTCTGAAATGAGAATCAACAAAAGAGCAGGGTTTCCAGTTTTCCTGCTTCCACCTATTTACTTTGCTTTCCTCTACTCAAGGGGAAAAAAAAAAAAGGCAAATTATGGTACTAACTTGGGCCATTGCAGTCAGCCAACAGCTGCGTAGTTCATGCACTTCTGTTTTCCTCTAGTGATTAACCTACCTTGGAGAGCAAACTTACATGAATACAAAACATGATGAATGTTTCCATTTTTCAGAAACTAGCCACTTATTACAAATAAAACACCAAGCCAAGGCCAAGCCAAAATAAAACATACATACTTTACTGCTTATTTAATTCTATTACACCTAACACCCCAAACATGAAAATATTTATCTTCCTCTGATAAAAAATGAAGGGACCAGGACTGGATGTATTTTCACAATCATCTAAGTCCATGCTGATGCCAAAAAGGGTGGTTTCATCTTCTTCCTCTTCCCCTCCCACCTGAGAGTTTTCAGCTCTTCTAGTTCTTGCACTAACATGCAAATAGGCAAACAGTCAGCCTAATTAGGGAGGAAATGGGCTGCAAGTTAACCCTACACAAAAACAGCAGCATTCAGGCATATCAGCCACTTCATTCTAGACTGATCATGCAGCTCCCTATGCTCTAATTCCAGCATCACAAACTTTGATATCAGTTTTAAACAACTGTAAAACTATGCCCTCGCCCACAAATAAAGCCTTTGATAAAAAAGAAAACTACTGAGCTTGGTCCACTTTTTTTGGCTAATCACTAGCCTATGCTCACTCCATGGTTCTAGAGCTGACAAACTAAAGTCTCTGACAGGGCTGAATATTGCATTCACAAGAAAAAACCCAACAACACAAACTGAAAAAACATCTAGTCAGTAAGCAAGGTTTTTATTTTGAATCACAGTGCTTTTGAAGCCAAAAAGAAACTAAATAGTAATTTGAACCTGATGTAAGAGTCAGCTTTCCAGTAAGAAACAATATGGCAAAGTAGGCAGCTTACATTCAAGTGCTGATGTTAAAAGGGGCAAGGAAGCATCACTGTGTTGCCTAAAGTTTCACCACTCCATTCTTTTAACTTTGCCCATTAAATCTTAGCTTCTAACTTTTCACAGAATTTCAGTCCAAATCCAGACTTCCCTTTTCACTCTTTTCTACTAATATTTTTTCCACATCTTCCTCTTACGTAAAGTTTTGTATGCTCTGCCAACAAGAGGTCACCTCTAATTTTTAAAGAAGTGACTTACCAGTATCTTTTATTACAACTGCTATGCCAACAAGTAATGCTGCATCTTTAATACCAACAAATACTATCTTTACAAAATGGCATACCTGACAAAGAACTTGCCAAACTACCTCTTCGTAGCTTGCAGTCATCTTGACTCAGCTGACGATGGAGCTTGGTTTTCCCAGCAGATGAAAAGATGTCAGGATTGCTGAGCTTCCTGCAACGCAGCGGAGTGGACTCCGTTATCATCTCCTGCAGAAAGAAAAACAAGTGGAGGTTTGGTAATGACAGCTCAGGATCTCTTGTCTGAAACATACAATCTCCAGAACATAAAGGAGAATGTTTTAAAAACCACAAACAAACAAGCCCCGCCCCACATACCAACAAAGAAAAAAAAAATTAACATTGTAAATCCCCCTCTTTTGTGCCCCATATCAGCGTGGAACACACATTACAACACCCCAGTCAGCTGTGGTCCTTGAACACTACTGCTGTAAGGAATATCATTAATAATAGTCAGAGAAAAGCAATTATGCTACAGCAGTTCTCTTCTCTTACAGTATGTAGGAAAAAAGGCTACCAAGAAAACAGGTTCAGCTTTGGTTAAAGCTATTTCCTGCTAAAGCAAAGAGTACTCTCTCCAATTTTCTTGAATATTTTTTCCATCTAGTCTACGAGTAATGTACCTATAAAGAAACTGTTGCAATGTCTATTGCAACCTAAAACTCCTATTATAAGTTGCAGCTCTACGAAGACCACATGTATAACTAAATAATAATTAGAATAGAGATCATCCTTTTGTGCAATGTCTTTGTTATTACTACAAACAAAATTAGACATGTATTTGTCAGAAACACTCCCACACACGTGAATTCCTTTCACAGCACAGAGCAAAATTTCAATCAAAATAGCGTAGGCAGAACAGTGTGAAGCACAACCACAGTGCTTTCCTCCTGCATTTCATTGTTCTGGAGGTGTCAAACTCTCATTCCACACCCAAAGAAGAATTATGAGCGTTGCTATCAGACATGGATTTGAAGATGTGACACTTTCCATTACAGCCCACACAGACGAACCGCTCGAGTTCTCCCTTCTCTGCAGCAGTGTGAAACATTCCACGTGTCTTAATGGACTGCTCCATTTTATTTCAAATGCCTCTCATTAGCTATACAGCACTTCAAGCCACGCTTATCCTCATAAAAATCTCATCTGAGGCAGAAAATAAACTTCCCCTGCGTGATACGTCACCGCACAATTTAACATGGTTTTAAATCATGTTTAAATCAAAAACCAGTAGAAGTTTTTAATTAAAATTTGCAGATTCCAGTCTAAATCTATTTCTAAAGCCATTAATTCAAATCTATTCAGTCTGCAGTGTTCTGTATCAAACTGTCAAATCCAGACCAGGAGTATGCACTTTAAAAACCTCAAGGGGAAGGGAAGGGAGGAGAGGGAGATGAATAAAGTGGTTTTTCATGGGGAAAAAAACACCAGATTTGGGATTTAAAACAGAATTCTCATTCAGCTCTGAGTCACTCATTCTCAACCTTTCGTAGACCCTGCCTCCTTCTAATCAGGAAATCTTTTGGCACCTCATAACAGTAAATAACTTTGTTATTTGTTTGAGGGACAGCAATGCTTTGCTCCACGTTGACTTCAATGGTGCATCTTTCCCAAGCTGCTCTAGATACAATTTCTTCCTCTGGTTACAGTCAGACTTTCAGTCGCCACAGTGTCTAAACCAGATCAAGAGAGACACCTGGGTAACAAAATAGGTCACTTCACTTACCCAGTTCACCACACAGCTGCAGTTGTGTTGGTGCAAGAGTGGGGAGAGGCTCAGAAACAAGTGACCTGGGGTAGAGAAAACTGCTCGAGCTGAAAACTGGTCTAATCTTATGGTTCCTCACACGCATCTTGGAGCAAAGAGCCTCACGTTTTCATTTGTCTCTGACCTTTCCCACAAAGGCACTGAATTCCCTCATTTCCAGCAGCCTGTACTTCTGCTTTTCTGTCATTTGGAGAGCTGAAGGGACAGCGACCTGTCTTTCTGTTTGTACTTGGGAGTGAGGTAAGTCATTTTAAATTGCAACATTAGCTGTACCCCAGCACCCCTCTGTAAGCTGCAGAGAACAAGGGCAGAAAGTCTTTGCTGTTTCTATTTGGGATGGCAGAACATGGTTACATATATATACACATCTGTAAGTAGACATACAGAAACATACACACACTTTTAATATAGAATGTCCTAAATGCCCAAACTGTCTAAAATGTAGCACGTGTTTCCCACCTGTGACAGTCTGAAATTATCCTACCTTAAAAAAGGACAAAAAAAGAAAACAAAAAAAAAAAACCAACTCCAGGTTACAAACAAATTACTTAAAAACCTCATCCAGCCTACCCTCTCACACTCCTTATGTTTCAATTCCAACAAATGTTCCTGGCATTCCTCAGGATCCAGCTACTTCCCTGAAACTTCACCTATGTTTAAAGGCCCCATGCCCAAGACACTACTGGTCACCCCACAGCCTGCTCCAATAAATCCCTAGAAAAGTCAGATTTTTCTTCCCATTCTCAACCTGCACAGGCCATTGCTGTGATTGTCTTGTCTCCACCACTTCACGTAGATCCCTTTAGGAAGGGGAAGCACAGTCCTGCTTGTTGAGCTGATCCAGCAACTGTAGCTGCTCTTCTACCACGTTCAGCTGAGTTGGGACAGGGGAAGGAAGAGGGCAGGGGGTGGTTACAGAGGAGCTGGTGCCACTAGAAATGGCATCTGCCCACCTGGCTGCTGCCCATCACTCCCCAAATACATCTGCACCCAAGAAGACTGTACAAAAACAATTTTGAGCTTATTGTATTAATACTCAACAGCAGCTAAAATTTTAAGATTAATTTGAAGATAAGTGCTCTAACTGGGACTTCTTTGCTCAAGGTATTGAGGGTATTTGTTAGTGTGTTTGGGGTTTTATTTGTTTTGTTGCTTTAGTTTGTCCCCCTCAGATGCACATTCACCTCCCCTTCAACACACCCACAAACACACCCAAATATACATCTCACCAATCCTCCTCAGTGAACTGCAGCTGAATAAGAACATTCATTCACTTGGGGCACCAGAGTAAGGAAAGGCACTAAAGTCAGTAACAAAAGTACTCTAAGTCATGTTACTAGCAATTTCTGTACTCTACATCTTTCCCTCTCTACCCATAGACATTCACATACCCCACCAGACAAAGAATGTGCCCACTTCCCTACCCTTTCCCCTTCCCCTCTATGCAGAGTCTCTTTTTATTGGCAAAAATAATTACAAATTCTTAATATGTCTTCTTAAGTTACAGTACACAAGTTTTGTAGATTTGGTAATCAAAAGTTCCCCAACTGAAGGAGCACGTGGAGCACCAACACTGAAGGGCACATCTACTCCTACCACAATTTCTGCTCAGCTACAACACCCTGCCTACACACACCTTTCAGCTCAACCCAGTGGCATATGCTACTTCTCAAAACCACGAATTTCATTCAAAATTAATTCTTTCAACAGCTGTCCCCAGCTTAGGCAACTCCTTCCCACCAGGCCTTGTACCACAAAGATATGAAAGGAACAGTAGAAAGGTAACAGCTTCCCACAATCACCAAGGAATCCAGGCTGTCTTCTACACAAGATAGATTTGGTACATATGGGAATTTCCTCATAAACTCTTTTTTTGTTAAGCACATAAACACTTGGGCAATATTCAGAAGACTACGTAGGTGTTGAGTGTGTTGAAGAAAGGGACTCCAATCGTATTGTGCAGGTTTATTTACTGTTAAACTCACTTTTCAAATACATATTAAAAAAGGAAAAAAAAGGGCACTGTTCTGAGACACCGTTCTGTTTTAAAAAATGCTAAGTACATCACAGCCAGTTTAAAATTTCATTTTCTAAGAGCTGTGCCCATATTGTGTCAGCAGAACAATGAGGAGGGAAAGTTTTAGCTTGAAAACAATAGAGTTGTCTTTCACAAGACTGCAATTTATTTCACTCATCCTTCAAAACCCAGCTTTGATATTGCAGTTCATGGATGAATTGCATAGAAATAGCAGTGGATTACATTACCACTCTTAAACAGGGAAGGAAAAAAAAACCTAGAGGAAGAGATTTTTCCTCGTCCTTGCCCCAAAGCAATGCATGCAAAGAACACAAAAATCTTACACAACATTCCAAATTGCTGAATAAAGAAACTCTTTGCAGTAATAGAATCTTGCTTACAAGCTTTCAAACTACTAAATTAGACTACCAGAGCAAGTGGTTGGAGAATAGATTACATAGCATGGACTGCCATAATTTTAAGGACTCCACTTCCATTTTTCAAAGAAAAAATCCTTACAGCTTTAGAGATTAAAGCATTAGTAAGCACATAACAAACACTTTGCTCACACCGTGTGAAAAGGACCGTGAGCCTCCCTCCATTAATTTCTTTTCAAAGGTGATAAAGAACTTAATTTACTTTGGGCTTGTGGCTTTTGCCACAAGTTAAAAATCAGGTTCAAGCAGCCAGCTGAATCCTGCAAAGCTTAGGGCTGAAGATAAAAGAGTCACAATCTTGGTTTGCTGGGCAAAGATTATTCCTATCAGTCCCTACCAAGGTGCATAAAAATTTGCTCACGTAACTTGAAATAGCAGGATATGAAGAAAAACGGCCAAAGCTTTTCCTGAACAGCAAGAGTCTGCATTTTTCAACTTGGTCACTCACCACACTTGAACAGAAGAAGTGTTAAAATAGTTGTGGTACTGGAATAACACATGAATGTGTTTCTCTTGCCTGAAATCTCCCATTGGGATTATCACACTCAGCTAGATGGAGAACCAGACAGGTTGCAACAATAGCTGCTGACAAAAAGACAAGAAACCAAACGTGGCTCCTGACGTGCAAGATCACATTAATATCCCATATTAAATTCTTGATCTGGTAATTTCAAAATACAGCTACAGGGAACCTTCTCAGTCATTTTTTCCATTCCACTGCACAAGGAAAGTCTTCCATGCAATTCAAGCAGGAAATAAAAGAACAAGCCCGTATACCATGACAAAGGTTTTCAGAGGCTCTTTTGTTTCCCCATTGTTCATTTAATGGTGCTGCAGGAGAGCAGCACAGCACAGGTCCTTTATCTACAAATGGCAGGTGAATACTGCAAGCATGGATGTGTTTTCCTTGGACTGCCAAGTGAAGTATCACCCAGTGGGACTGATACATCAGCAACAGATCAGTGTT